TCTTTCTGAAGCTCCAGGATATGTCCCTATGTTTCTCCTTCTTTCCGAAACACCGGGATACGTCCCTATGTTTCTCATTCCTTGCGGAACACCGGGATACGTCCCTACGTTTCTCTCTCTTCAAAACGCCGGGATACGTCCCTATGTTTCTCCTTCTTTCGGAAACACCGGGATACGTCCCTATGTTTCTCATTCTTTCCGAAACTCCGGGATACGTCCCTATGTTTCTCTTTTCCTTCTGAAACTCCGGGATACATCCCTATGTTTCTCTCTTCTTTCCGAAACTCCGGGATACGTCCTTATGTTTCTTCTTCTTTTCCGGAACACCGGGATACGTCCCTATGTTTCTCCCTCTTCGGTTAAAAGCGTTCGGAATACGTTCCAATGCTTACACCATTTCGAAACACCGGGATATGTCCCTATGTTTCTCCCTCTTTGGTTAAGAGCATTTGGAATACGTTCTGGTGCTTGAACCACTCTGGAACACTGGGATACGTCCTTATGCTTTTCTTTCTTTCCGAAACTCCGGGATATGTCCCTATGTTTCTCATTCCTTCCGAAACTCTGGGATACGTCCCTATGTTTCTCATTCCTTCCGAAACTCTGGGATACGTCCCTATGTTTCTCATTCCTTCCGAAACTCCGGGATATGTCCCTATATTTCTCTTTCCTTTCGAAACTTCGGGATACGTCCCTATGTTTCTTCTTCTTTTTTCGAAACACCGGGATACGTCCCTATGTTTCTTCCACTTTTTCGGAACACTGGGATACATCCCAATGTTTCTTCCGCTTTTCCGGAACACAGGGATGCGTCCCTATGTTCCTCTCTCTTTGGTTAAGAGCATTTGGAATACGTTCCAATGCTTATACCTTTCCGAAACACCGGGCTACGTTCCTATGTTTCTTTGCATGATCATTAGTTATGCTCGGCTTGGTGCATTGTCTTGCATTTTGCCCCTGCCCTTGGGTGCATACCTTTATTTGTAGCTTGTATGCTTTGTCTAAGTCTTCGGCCTTGTCAAAAATGGGTCGTCTCTGGGCTTTGACATTCACTCCCGTCAGCTTCTCCAAGAAGCTTGACCCTTTTTTGGCTTCTCCAAGAAGCTTGACCCTTTTTTGGCTTCTCCAAGAAGCTTGACCCTTTTTTGGCTTCTCCAAGAAGCTTGACCCTTTTTTGGCTTCTCCAAGAAGCTTGACCCTTTTTTGGCTTCTCCAAGAAGCTTGACCCTTTTTTGGCTTCTCCAAGAAGCTTGACCCTTTTTTGGCTTCTCCAAGAAGCTTGACCCTTTTTTGGCTTCTCCAAGAAGCTTGACCCTTTTTTGGCTTCTCCAAGAAGCTTGACCCTTTTTTGGCTTCTCCAAGAAGCTTGACCCTTTTTTGGCTTCTCCAAGAAGCTTGACCCTTTTTTGGCTTCTCCAAGAAGCTTGACCCTTTTTTAGCTTCTCCAAGAAGCTTGAACCCTTTTTTTTAGCTTCTCCAAGAAGCTTGAACCTCTTGACCCTTTTGCCTAGCTTCTCCAAGAAGCTTGGCCCTTTTGCTCCAAGCTTCTAAGAGAAGCTTGGCCTTTTTGCTCAAAGCTTCTAAGAGAAGCTTTCCCCCCTTGGTTTCTCTATATAAGGAGAGCCTCTCCTTCCATTTTAGGGGTTAGAAAAATCAGATATATATCACATATATATCACTCCCTCTCTATATCTCCTCTCTCTTTACATTTGGGTGGGTTAGAGGGTCCAAAAGAGTCTGGTTCTTGGCCTATTGGACACCACTTCATAGCCACACACTTCCATCATCACTTGGAGGTTCTTGGAGCTTGTTTTCAGAGGTTGAGGGTTTCATTTTTGGGTCTAAAGGCTGCTGGTTCTTGCTGGTCTTCAAAGGTAAGCCCTTTTCCCTCTTTATTCCCCGTTTTTGCACACCCTTTTAGCCTGTCTTTCTTGTGGATTTGGGATTTGTGTATAACATAAAAAATTTCTGTTTTTTTGTGTTTAAGATACTTCATTAAGGTCACTTTTGTGTTTGGGGTCGTTTACTCCCTCTTAGGCCTTGTTTGGCCCCATTTTGTGCTATTTTTGGTGAGCTTCGGGACCACCTTGTTTGGGCCTCCTCACCACTGAAATCTTGAGGGATTTCAGTGGTGAGGATGGTGGTTTAAGGTCCTGAGAAGGAGAGGGGTGACCATCTCCCTTGTTGCCTTGTTTGTTGCCCTTTTTGGCCTTCCAAAGGGGCTCCTATTTGCATGCTTCCAAACCTTGTTTCAAGCATTTTTCAGTGGGTTTTAGGACTTCCATAAGCCATTTCCAGAGTTGGTTTGGTCTTGTTGAATGTCCTTATTGCATGTGTAGAGTAGCCCTCTTGTTGGCCTTTCAAAGGAACACCCCATTCTAGCATGTGTGGACCTTGTTTCCATGGGTTTTTGGGGCTTATTTGACATACCATGTTACTGTTTTCGGCTGGTTTGGTGACCTCTCTTGTGCTTCATATACATGTAGTGTAAACCATGTTTACTAGCCTATGTTGCATGTTGTTTTGGCCCTTCATGTTAGCATTTTTTGGCCATGCCTTGAACTGATTTCATGCACGTTTTGGACTGCCTTAGCACTGTTTTCATGCCTCATGGTCAAATAATGCTTGTTATGCATGCTTGTAGTGCAATGCCCATGCCTAGCTTTGAGTTTTGAAGCTTCTTGCATGCTTAAATGGTAGTGTTTTCATGTTTTGGGGTCATTTTGGAGTCATTTGGTATGCCATTTCAGATCTGGAACATGCACCATTGTATGCCATATTTCCTCCTTGCCATGCTTTGGTAGAGTTGCATTTTTGTGCCTTAAGCTTGGTTAATGCATTGTGCATGCATTCCATGTATTTTGTTACCTCACTTGCATCATTGTGGCCACTGTTTTGGACCTAGTAGAGAGCTGTCCAGATTAGTTTAAGACCATCCATTTGGCATGTTGTTGCATGCTATACATGTTCGTATGTTTAGGTACTTAGTCTATTAACATGTTGTATGTTTAAGTGCCATTGCATTTGGCATGCTTCTTGTGTTGAGTTGCTTTGCATATTTACATATGTTATGCCTTTCATGCTGTTGCATGTGTGTCATTAACATTGATGTTATATGCCTTGCATGCTTACTTGTTTAGTTCATGGCCCATTGCACATGGTTTTGTTGTTTGCATGATCATGTTGCACACTTAGCTCACATGCCTAGGTTGCATTACATTGGCATGCATACTTTGCCTCTTGAACTGAGTATGATAGAGGTTGAGTTCATTGTTTGTTTATGTGCATTTCATTCCACATTGAAATTGCACACTTTGGTTCTTTGGGCCATCACGCACTGAAACGCGCGATTGGTGGTCCGAGAATCAAGTACCATGCTCCTTTGAGCCATAAACATGATAAGGAGTGTGGTTGGTGCAAACATTGCTTGAAATGCATTGCCATGCCATGTTGTGCCCTCTGCTGCTGTCAAAACAGATTCTGCAGGAAGATTTGGCCGACCGGCCATATGCAGTGCCGACTGGCCATCCATCCGTGGCCGATATCTCGATCAGAGGTCGGTGGTCATTCTCCATGGCCGGTGGCAAATCCTCTTAGCCGGTGATGTTCTGAAGCATTCAGAGAAGCAACCCTGGGACTTGTGTAGTCTTCAGAGGAGGATAACAGTCAAAGTGGAGGCAACTTGTGCATGGCTGTGACTTTCCGAGCGGAACCGCGCATACATTGAATGGGGCCCTCTTCCCAAGGCTGTTTACTGTTTTCCTAGATTAGTTAATTTGCTTAACTAGTTAACGGACTGTAATAATTAGTTAGCTCGTAGTTAATTAATTGTATTATTCTTTTGGTCCCTCCGAGCGAGGGCGAATTTGTAATAAGTGTGGGTGCACGTGTGCATGTCTTCCAACCCCCACTTCTTTCTCCCTTTTACTTACCTGCTTTTGATGGTTAGTATTAGGACATGTTTACTTTAGCATACCTTATGCTATGCATGCGTGCATCCATACATTTGTCTTGATACACCCGGGCTCGGCGTATCATACTTACTTGCATTTGTCTTCAATTCCAAGTTGACTACGTGTTAGTTGTATCATCATATATGCCATCTTTAGAATGAGTCGAGCCTATCTAGATTGCATGCTTTGCATGTGTTGCACTAGGCCTTTTTAAATGAACTAGGATCATGCATTGATTGCTAACGAGTTCTTTGTTTTGGCACTGAGTACGATGTAAGTATTTATGCTTTAGCATCCCGCATGCGTGTGAGTGTTGCCATGACAGTATGATTACCATGAGGCTAGCTGCTTATGTGATATAACTGCTTGAATGCCTGTGGGTGGAGGGTGAATTACCTAAATTGGGATAATGCATTAAAACTGTGAGTTTTAAGCCCACTAGATAGTGGCAAAACCATCTTTTCTAAAGCCCACTTGAGGGTGGCAAAACTTGCATTTTAGCCTACTTGCGAGTAGCAAACCATTTTCAAAACAAACATGCAATGTTTTGTTCCAATTTAGGCGATTTGGTCTATACTTGTTTGCTGTGCGCATCACATAGTAAATCTAGGCTAATAACCGGAATAAGAACGCATAATGTTTTCAAAAATAGATATCATGGTTAGTAGAGGCCGATCTTCGGATCGGGCGAGAGGGGTGCTCATAGCTGACCTTCCCCAATCGTACCCATGCTCCCGAGCCAAGGCAACTTTGGTGATGACGGACACGTGGCCTTTGGCATCGAGTCAGGGTTTCCTAAATTCCCCCATAAAAAATATTTAGGTGGCGACTCTGTATCTGGCAAAGCAGTCCATGTTTGACACTTATTTTTCTAAAAATCTGTTTTCTCAAAACGATTTGCCAGATTTGGACTCTTTGGTTCAGATTAAGAACCGTGACAATTTGAGTCCAAACTGTAGTAGACCCCCAAAACGAACAGAACGGGACCTCATCCTCCCGGGGCGTTCGGGGACGTCTACAGTTGGGCGGGCCCGGCTTGAGTAGGCTTTAAGCAGGCTGATGGATCGGGCCGGGTTTCAAAATGATGGCCTTGACCCAAGCCCAGGATCTCAGGCTAGGCTCCGGGCTCAAATTGATGGCCATCATTGTCCGTTTTGCAGCCTCACGCTTCATCTCTGCTGCTTTGCCACTGCCACGGAAGTACATGTAAACATCCTGCAATATTGGGACAAGGGACAACAAAGCTCAAGAGAAAGTACAGAAGAAAGGAAAGTGAGAGGAGATGAGAGAAATTGAAGTCAGATTAACAAACCTGGATAACCGAGATGCTGATCAGTGCCTCGATGGAGAAAAATGCAAATCCAATAAAGTGGAAAATCTGTAAAGCAATAAAGGAGATAATCAAGTAACTTTTCAACAACAGTTTTGCAGTTAGAATGGTCTGGTGATACTATGCCATAAGCGATAAGATCTTAAACTCACGCCAACCACAGTATGATCACCCATGACATCTATTGCTGGCAAGATTCCCCTGTCAAACAATCGAAAAATACATTCATCAGTTACAGGATACAAAATAAATAACCAACTCACAGCAAATGTGATCCCCTATATAGCTTAATTTGTGATATAATTTACAATGTGTAGTTTACTATTTCCAACATTTTTGGGGGCTAAAAAATTTCAAGAGAACTCAACACGGCTTTTTAACACAAAATAAGAATTGAAAAAAAACTGCAAATTCGAAGTCCAAAGACGCAATTGTAGCAAAGACGCAGAAGGCAATATGGAACTGCATGGATAAGGAAAAGGAACAGAAATAAGACTTCCAGAAAACCTTCAATGTAGAAAACAAATCTAACTAGAAGATGCAAAAGCTTACCACGTAACTCAAGAAAAACCACCCAAACTTCAATGCACTATCAGTCCTGTAATGGGTTAACAGACAATTTTATAGCAGAGAATTCCCAAATAGATCCCAATTTTAAAGGCAAAGAGCACGAAATAGTACCTCATAGCATGATGAAGAGGACGATACCACAACATATAGGCCCCTGGAACCCTTGTTATGAAGTAGATAATAGCAAGAAACCAAATTGTCGGACCTACAAGACAAGAAAAATCAAGACTCATCTATGCAAGCAAGAGGCTTAGAAGGCCATTCAAAGTATTTCGAAGCCAACCCTCTCCATTGATCCAGGCTACGGTAACTGCTATAATATTCCATAGAAGGCACACTAACAAGCCTGCGAATGTCATGAATTTACAAGAAGTTCTTGTTAAAGCTTATTGTAGCCATAAAGATGAATTATGCCTAAAGTGCACAAAATAGAAAATGTAATATTTAGGCCTCATAGGGTAATTTTAAGGTGTCTAAAAATAGAACAAGGTTGTGATAGACCTTCAGGGAATCCATGACAAAGGCATAATATAAATAAAATGAAAAATTAATAAGATTAATACAAAGTGTCCATGAAAATAAAATTAAAAAAATAGCCATTCAATTCTAGGTAAAACATATTCGGAAGCTACAATGTTAATTAGTATAAACAAGTACCTGCTCCCTCCTCCTTAATTCAGCCTCCTTTGCTTGGAGTTCTTTCTCCTTTGTTCTGAAATCCTAGATTGTAGCAGCGGATAATGAAATTAACAAAGCCTATGTCTATGCATAAAAATAGTAAACAGGTTCAACATCCTTTGAACTTTAGTCTACCTTTCCATTATCAAGAGGGATATTAACTGTAGCACCACGATCATAGTCAACAGGTTCAGGAGTGTGTTGACCAGATTCAATATATAATGGTGTAAAAAACAACCACTGGCTCATCTATTTTTAATATAGATTCCATAACTGTGTTAAAAATCAACAAAGCAAGCATAAACCCCAAACTAAACAAGAGTAGCGATTTTACAAACCCCAGGGTGAGATGGTGATTGTGGAGGAAAATGTGAATTCCCATTAGAACGTCAGGGTGCCAATTGATAATGAGACGCCTTTAGCTTTGCCTGACGATTAGAATACCATGGTGCACAGAGTCAGCAAATAAATCACAATTTCAAGTTTTACCATTGCTTCAGAATATATATAGATAGATATCAATCTAAGGGGCAAAACAAGAGGAAAAAAAGCGAGCCTTCTATAGCAAAGCAATTTGCGGTTACAAGGTACCATCTAGAAAATACAAGCTATACAAAATAAAAATAAAAAGACTAAGTGACTCCCTTCCCTTCACAATTTTATAATAGGCTATTTCCTGTGAGTAGTGTGTTTTCAGGATAAAATAAAGTAGAATGCCAAGCTTTACATATCTATAGTTACTGCAAATGCGAGGCTGAATAATAATAAGATAAATGAGCTTAAAAAAAAAAAAAGAACAGAAACAATGTAAGCCAAAACAAATAACAAATACCAGCCATTCTCTGTCGCCTTGGAATCCTTCATGATCAAGCTCTTTAATAGCAACTAGTGTGGTCTTGTAACCTAGTCTCACATTCTCATTTATAACTCCTTTATAAACAATCCCAATTTGATCATGTTTTTACCCTTGCAGTGGTAATTATAACTTACAATCTGTTTTTACCCTTGCAAAATCAACATTGATCATGGATGAAATTTTTAAAATATTTTCTTAGAGAATTCCAATTTATTTGGGGTCAGTTAGCTGTGCAAATTGAATTATTCCATTTCGAATCAACCAATTGAAAGTTTCAATTTATTAGGGTGCATTTAATTGTGAAAATTTAATTTTTCCATTTAGAATCAACTAGGTTTTTATGAGAACAGATTTTAAATCTCCCAATTTTAGATTAGGTTCCTTCTATGTTTTAAAGAGAAAGACCAATTTCATCAAGAAAATAAAAATTGTAGATTTCAAGTTGTTTCAATTTTACAACCAAACAAGTTTAATATAAAATTTTAACCCAATTCCTATATATATATAGAGAGAGAGAGAGAGAAGCATACGCGAGACGGAGCATCAATGGAGCAGAGTTCATCTCAGCAATGAAGCCTCTGGATCTCGTGGCGGTGGCGGTGGATCTATGAAGATCGACGGGGGAGGAGGCGGCGTGAAAAGAGCGGCGGTACTCACGATGACGATGGCGATGGCGGAGGAGGAGGAGGTGTAACCTTGTATCTCCAACGAAACACTAAAAAATCCAAAATGCGATTTCCTCATCAATGCTTCACAACTAAGACCTGAGAGAGAGAGAGAGAGAGAGAGAGAGAGAGAGAGAGAGAGAGAGAGAGAGGTGCCAATAATTTTTGGAATCCATTCAAAATTTGAAAGGTCGTTGAAATAAATCATCTTTGGCGACTAAAATATGATTTGGTTGCCAAAGATAAAAGTAATTATTTGTTTTCATTCGGCTACTAAACAATTTAGTAGCCAAAAGTAGCTCTACAACAACTAAAAAGAAATTTTGTCGCTAAAATATATTTTTGGCGACCAAAATTTTGGTCGCCAAAGATAAAAAATAATTTTTTTATTTTCATTCGGCTACTAAACAATTTAGTAACCAAAAGCAGCTCTACAGCGACTAAAAAGAAATTTTGTCGCTGAATATATATTTTTGGCGACCAAACTTGGTCGCCAAAGATAAAAAATAAATTTTTTATTTTCATTCGGCTACTAAACAATTTAGTAGCTAAAAGTACCTCTACGGCTACTAAAATTTCTTTTAGTCGCCAATTGTGATATGTTTAGCTACTAAAAATATTTTTAATCGCCAATTGTAATATTTTTAGCTACTAATTTTTTTTTAGTCGCCAATAATCAACATTCCCCTACTAAAAAAAATTAGTAGCTAAAAAGTTGACTTTTGCCGACTAATATTATTTTTGGTAGCCAATTCCATAACTTTTGACGACTAAATTGTTTTTGGTAGCCAAAAATGGTCGGCAAAAATGTATTTTCTTGTAGTGCCACATCTCAAACGAAAGCAAAATGATATTTTTTTTAATATATATTTATGAGGTAACATTTGGTAATTCTTATAAGTCAATTTCTTTTAATTATAAATATGAAATTTTATTATGTTTATTTTTCTTAAAAAAAATTTAATACACAAATATGTATACAAAACAAAAGAAAAATTCATATTTCGTAAATTGTTATGGTATTGGATGATGCTACCTAACATTGATGACAGAGAAAAAATGATGAAAAAAATGAAGAAAAAACATAGAGAAGAGAACAAATAATAATAATAATAATAATAATAATAATAATAAATTATATGGTATTACTATTTGCTACAGTGACACTATGAAAAAATGAATGAGAAAATAAATAGAAAGAAAAATGAAAAGAGAGGGATAATTACTCAAAATATGTATTTTTCATACCCCCCAAAAAATCAAATACCTATATGTATTTTTAAGTTTTTATTCAAACTCTAATTTCTCAAAATAATTATTTATAAAATTTGTGATCTTTTTAAAAAATAAAACATCTTTTATACTTTGTTTCGTAATTTTTAAATAAATGATTGTATTTAATCTAGTATAAGGTTTAATGGTGATTAATTTATTAGCTTCTTCTTCTTCTTCTTTTTTTTTTTTTTAATAAGATAATGTTTGGTTATTCGATTATATATATCCTTGTTTTAGTGATTTAGATTTTTTTTTTAAAAATATTATATAGAATTTAATAATTTTGTTTAGCATTATCAAAATAATATATGTGTCTTTATTAATTTTTTGTAAAACCTCAAGGAAGGTGAGTGAAATTTACTATTTGAATATATAAGGGCAATCTTGAAATTTTTTACTTATAGTACATGATATCAGCCTGACATCATCATATTATGTTAAATAAATTAACAGAAGATTAACGGTAGGAGAATCTTAATAATAGTTTAAAAAATAAGGCAAGTTTCTGTAATTATTAAAACTACATGGGAGGTCCCTGTAATTGTTAGAAATCACATGAGAGGTGAGTGTAATTTATCCATAATTTTACTATTATATGAAAGAACAATTATGAATTTTATTTTTTTAGTTAATTCTGTTAAATAAATTTTTTTGATAGATTGATATTTGTAATTTTCCAAATTAGAGAAGAAATTCATATTTTAAGCAAATGAGAGTGCAAATCCGACAAATTTTTAGAAAATGGCAAATTACACTAACAGTCCCTATAATTTGGGACTTGTGCCACTTTGGTCCCTGACTTTTCAATTGTGACACATTTGACCCTGAATTTTGAATCTTGTTACAAATAAGGACAATTGAAGATACCATTACTTAATTTCAAGAGCAAAATTGTCAATTTAATAAATATAAACTAATTTGACAAAAATAAATGTCAAAAAAATATTTTAAAATTTTTAAAATTATTTCTACTCATCATGTAAAGTTGATAAATATTTTAAACATTTATTTATTTATTTATTTTACTAAATTAATTTTTATTATGTGTTTAGATGATGACCATGTAATGGGTAATCGTTATATTTATATAAAATATTTTTAGCTTTGAATTTTTCGATTTATTGGGGTGGTTTAATAATGATATCAAAGTTGTTGTCATGTTTGACTTTTGAAAAAATAAAAACTAATTTAATGAAAACAAAAATAATCACCATTACATGATTATCATCTAAACACATAATAAAAATTAATTTAGTAAAAATAAATAAATAAGTGCCTAAAATATTTATTAATATTACATAATTTTATCTTTAGTGGGTAGAAATAATTTTTAAAATTTCAAAAATATTTTTTTGAAATTTATTTTTGTTAAATTAGTTTATATTTTATCAATTGACATTTTTGCCCTTGAAAAATCCAATGGTATCATCGATTGTCCTTATTTGAAACAACATTTAAAATTCAGAGTCAAATGTATCACAATTAAAAAGTCAGGGACCAAAATGATACAAGTCCCAAATTATAGGGACCGTTAGTTTAATTCACCCTTTAGAAAATTATATTCCTATTTAAAACAAATCTTTGCAAATCTTTCAAATGAGAGTCCAATTCGTATTTATATTCCTATTTTAAACAAATCTTTCAGAAATTCGTATTTCAGCACTTGTTTGACACCTCACTAAAGCACATGTTAGAACTCTAATATTGGAGCTCTTTATCACTACCGAAAAGGAAAAATACACTGGTAATAAAACAGTAACATCAATGATTAGTGCGAGCCATTGTCTTTCTCTGTTTGATCTTCCGCACCTCCTGAATGTGAAGGATGAAATCATCAATAGTAAAGCCTTCAAATCCAGAGGAATTTTTGGCCCTGAGAGCCATT